AATTGTGTATGTTCGTTTTTATTTTGAACTTGGCAAGTTGTTTTTGTCTTTCTAGATCTGGTTTGGCATGCCCCCTTTTTAGTTCTTTTTGTTCTTTTGTCCACCTGCTTTTCAATACATATTTTCTTTTACTGTTTCATTATTTTTGTCATGTTTATTCCCATCTATCTTTCTAACTGTTTCTTGCAGCTTGCACAATTCAAGTTTGGGGGCTTGTTTTTGTGAGACGTCGCATGGGAGCTTTTTGTCACCCCGTCATGCTCTCTCCTCATTCTCATGGTATTGTTGTTCCTGTTTTTGTTTTTCACTTTTTGTTGACGTCACTTGTCTTCACACATTGAGGACAATGTGTCATTCAAGTTTGGGGGTGCAATTGCATTTTTGGTATTTCATTTTTGCCTGCATAATGTATTTTGATCCATGTAAAGCAATAAAGTCAACTTTTGTAAAACAATGATATGACAATTTGAAACTTGTCGGAGATGATGCTCATGTTTAATACCTTGTGTATAAAAGCAATTGTTAAGTCTGGAAAATAAAGAAAAAATTTTGAATTTGAAATGATCATGCGGATGCAATTCAATCTGTATAAATGCTTCAATTAGATTCTCGTTGGATCTTATACTCTTGTATGCTTCACAATGCACAGATGCACACCGGAAACTTGACTGTGAGGCATGTAACTGGATTGACCTTGTTCTTGACCTAGTTAATCTGAATTGATGAACCTAATGGATGGATACCTTTGGCATGTTAAAAAAAAAAAAAAAGAAAAAAGAAAAAGGAAAATAGAAAGATAATGACTAGCTTAAGTTCGTAGCCTTGCTGACTCGAGTTATTAAGCCCTAGGAGTGTTCTCTCACTTAGCACCCTAAAACCGTCCGGTTTGGGAGTTGCTGGCCTAACGCTTGCTACATGGGTTGGTTAGAAAGCTTAAGGGACTTAGGCATTGCACGGTCATTCACAAAAATAAGAATAAATAACTGTGGTTCGTTGGAGTTCGTAGCCTTGCCAATTCGAGTTATTAAGCCCTAGGAGTGTCTTTTCACTTAGCACCCTAAAGCCGTCCGGTTTGGGAGTTGCTGGCCTAACGCTTGCTACATGGGTTGGTTAGAAAGCTTAAGGGACTTCAACATTGCACAACCATATTATGTATCGTTTTTTTTGTTTTAATAAATTGTCAACAAGCAACAAAAGTTGTTTTGTGAATAAATTCGTGCCTTAGGGACTTCAAAAGTAAGGGAATTCAATGATTTGAAGACTTGTGTCTTGGAATTGGAAAAGAAAAGGTTAAAGCCACATGTTAGGAAATCCGGTTCACTTTCACTGAAGTTAGAGTTGATTTCCATTCAAGAGATGACAATTGAATTATTTATATTGACCACGATGTTGATGCATGTATTTGAAAATGTGTTTAGCAAATTTTTGTATCAATGCTTCGTATATGCAAGGTAGTCTACCTAATGATAGCATCTCTGACCTTTTGTCTGTTTCAAGTTGTAATTGAGCTATGCATGTTTCCTTTTCACCATGGTTGATGTCTATGGGAAGCATTTCATTGGTTGTCATTTCATTAAGTTTTTTTTTTTTCTCATTCTAGTTTTGCTAAGGGACTAGCAAAATGTAAGTTTGGGGGTGTGATAAGCGCCGAATATTACATATTCAAGCGCCCTTATTTGCATTAGTTAAGTCCATTAGTTGTTTATTTTATTTAGATTGCCTTCATTTGCATGTTCATATTTATTTTCAGGTTCATTGGCCAAAAAGGAGCAAGAATGAGTTTTTGTTGAAGCCTTAAATGTCATGGTGCTCATTAAGGAAGTTCTGGCAGCAGTGGGAAGTGAGTTTGATCGCCATTTTTGACCTAGCAAACTCGAGAACTGGACTTTCATCAAAACATATAACATGAAGAGCTATGAATCAGCTTTCCAAAGACATAAAGTTTGCTTCATTTGGAGTTCAGAGCAAAGAGTTATGCTATTTTCACCAAAGGTGCGCAGAACAGCCTGGCAGCAATGGATTTCGACCTTGCTCCTCATTTTTGACCCTCCAACCTTCAGAACTGGACTTTCATTATAACATGGTTTATGTAGAGCTTTGAATTAGCTTTCCAAATCTTCAAACGGTTCGTCATTTGGAGTTCGGAGCGGGAAGTTATGGTCATTTTGCCAAAGTGGCTCAAGCTGGAAAGTAGCTTCGAGCGCTCGAAGAGCCACCTTCGAGCGCTCGAAAATTGGGCAGAATGCCCTCCGGAAGTCCTCATTTTCAGCCCACTTGTGCCTTGTCACCCTCATCTCTTATTTCCTCTTTTTGGAGTTGGTAGAAGATGTGTGGAGGGCCTTGTTTTGAGGGGTTTTGGTTGGTTTTCTTGCCTACAAAAGCTAAAGGAGCATTTCATTATCAAATATCTTGGAAGGGCAGAATTTCTAGAGAGAGGGAGGAGAGCAAGAGAAGGTTTTCTTGAAGCCACAAGAAGGGAGCTCGAAAATGGAGGGAAAAGGCATGGTTTTTCCTTCATCTAAAGCTTCTATGGGTAACTAACTCACCCTCTAGGGAGGTGATGAAGTCCCTCCCTTGTAAGCATGATCTAGTTTAGCTTTATTTTGGGGATTACAATGTATATGCAATGGTCTTTTCATAACCAAGAGCACTTCATTTGTTGTAATGAATGTTAATATTGCTATGAATGATTTATTTGAGTTGTTTATCTTGTTTTAGATGACCTCTTACATTAATCATGTTGCTTGAGTTTTCATGGTGAGAATGGAAACTAGGTTATGGAATGGTTTAATGACATGTTGATAGGTGACTTTGATAGATCATTGCTTAGGGAAGCCCTTTGATGGTGTATGCTTAATCCCTACCTTCATGTGCTTCATCATTGTGTCAAGGGCTTGATAGTCTTTCATTTAAGTATATGTGTTTAAGCTACACTCTAGTTTAGGTAGTCTAAACATATTCACCTTTGATGGATTATTCTTGTTTGTGATTCAATGTACTTCTTGTTAATTATATGGCAACCATGAGTTGCTATATAATTCTTGGCCATTATATATTGTTTTTCCCCAATTTAGCTCTAATCTAGCATGTGTATAGGGATGGAGACGGATTCACTCCCCTAGTTGTCTTTAATCGAATTTCATCTCATTTAAATTCTTGCAAGTTTTTAGTTCATGCATCTTAATTTCATAACTTAAGTGACAACCAACAAATCCTCTATGAACACTCCATATCACTCTAAAATGATTCTAGATACTTAGGTTGCCGTAGATTAGCGCAGTCCCAGTGGTTCGACTTACCCGACCAATAGCCCTATTTTACAATGATTCGTGCTATTGCGAAGTTGATTAAATTTAGGTCATATTATCAACCGATCACGGTGTGCTTGGTGGCACCCGAATCCACATTTTTAAAAAATGACTATTTTACCCCTGGGGGGTTATTTGTCATATTTTTGATCTTTTACTTCCGTATCAGTTCTCATTGAGTTCCACGACCTTATGGAAGGTCACTTTGACTTCTTAAAGTCTTGTTTTCTGTTTTCGCTTCTGCATTTCGGATCCATTATCGGATCATCCTTACGGTTCATCACAGGACATGCTGACCTAAAAACCAGGGTCATCACACCGTATCTTTCCGACAATTGTTGATGAGTTTCTTGATGTCTTTCTAGAGGAGTTGATGGTGCTTCCTCCTCTTTGGGAGGTTATTTTTGCTATTGATGTCAGTCCCGGTACCATGGCTATCTCTATGGCACTGTACTACATAGCACCCGTAGAGTTGGATGAGCTGAAAGTTCAATTAGATGATTTGAAAGCCAAGGGCTTTATTCATCCTAGTGCTTCACCTTGGGGAGCGCCGGTTCTTTTTGCGAAGAAGAAGGATGGGTTTTTGAGACTTTGCATCGATTATCACAAGTTAAACCACGCTACGATCAAGAACAAGTATACATTGCCTAGGATTAATGAAAACTTGTTTGATCAGTTGAAAGGAGCTATGTGCTTCTCGAAAATTGACTTGAGGTCGAGTTACTATCAGTTGAGGTTTAAGGATGAGGATATATCCAAGGCAGCCTTTCGTACACGGTATGGCCATTTTGAGTTCCTGGTAATGCCATTTGGTTTAACTAATGCTCCAGCAGCTTTCATAGACTTGATGAACCGTGTATTTAGTGACCATCTTGACAGATTTGTGGTGGTATTCATTGACTAAATTCTCGTGTACTCGGCTTCAGTAGAGGAGCATGAGCATCATTTGAGAGCAGTTCTGTAGATCCTTAGGGATAACCGGTTATATGCCAAGTTCGAGAAATGCGAGTTCTGGTTACTGGAGGTGAAGTTCCTTGGACATGTTGTTTCAGGGGGTGGAGTAGTAGTGGATCCATCGAAGATTGAGTCTGTGATGGATTGGGAGCGTCCGAAGATAGAGTTTGAGATTCGGAGTTTTCTTGGCCTAGCCGGCTATTACCGGAGATTCGTCAGGGATTTCTCTCATTTAGCGGCACCTATGACTCGACTTCCCCGCAAAGGAGTCAAGTTTGTTTGGACAGAGGCATGTGATGTAGTGTTTCAGGAGTTGAAGGTTAGGTTGACTTCAGCTCCAGTTTTGATCATACCTGAGCGTGGCTTGCGGTACGTGATCTATTGTGATGTTTCTCAGGAAGGTTTGGGTTGTGTTCTGATACAGACTAAGCGGGTGGTAGCTTATAGGTCTCGATAGTTGAAGACTCACGAGTTGAACTATCCGACACATGATTTGGAGCTTGCAGCAGTTATCTTTGCCCTGAAAGGGTGGAGACACTATTTGTACGGGGAAAAGTTTGAAGTGTTCTCCGATCACAAGAGTCTCAAGTATCTCTTCTTTTAGAAGGATTGAACTTGAGACAGCGTAGATGGGTTGAGTTCATGGAGGACTATGACTTTGAGTTGCAGTACCATTCGGGTAAGGCCAATGTGGTGGCCGATGCTTTGAGTAGGAAGTCACGGGGCACTCTTGCTAGCATGCCCATTCATAGATGGAAGATGCTAAAAGAGCTTGCAGATTTAGGTTTACAAATGTTTGAGGATGCTTCTCCAGTTACTTTATTTAGCATCTTGGCTCAGCCAGCTCTAGTCAGTAGGATTATTGAGGCACAGTTGAAGGATGGGGAGATAAAGTCCATCCACACACGAGTTTCAGGTGGCAAGGATGTAGAGGGTTGGACCTTGCATTCAGATGGTTGTCTCAGGTACAGGGGGATGATGTTTGTTCTCTTGTCTTGTTGCGATGATGTACTTTGGGATTTTCACCACTCTCAACTCACAGTTCATCCTGGTGGCACAAAGATGTACCACAATTTACGACGGCAGTTTTGGTGGAAAGGCATGAAATGGGATGTTTCACAGCTTGTGGCTCGATGTCTTACTTGTCAGCAAGTGAAGGTGAAGCAACAGAGACCGGCAGGATTGTTGTAACCATTACCAGTAGCTGAGTGGAAATGGGAGCACATTACTATGGATTTTGTGATGGGACTTCCGAGATCCCAGGTAGGGAATGATGCTGTTTGGGTCATAGTTGATAGGTTGACTAAGACGACGCACTTCTTACCCATGGCAGTGACAAACAGTGCAGAGAAATTGAGTGGACTGTATGTGAGGCAGATCGTCAAACTTCACTGGGTTCCGGTATCCATTGTTTTGGATAGGAATCCCAGGTTCACATCTCATTTTTCGTAGGGTTTTCAGGAGGCCCTTGACACCGAGCTTCATTTCAGTACAACATTCTATCCTCAGACTGATGGTCAGTTGGAGTGTACCATGCAACGAAAACAACCCCCAAGCTGAAAGACAACGCTCAAGCCAATGACATTTGCACCCACGTGCTTACGACTGGACAACCTCTCAAAAGAAAAATGACCGCACGGCCACACAACAAGTCAAAGGTTACTCACAGAACCCAACGCCAGACAAAGGAACGGAAGACAACAACCGTAAGCATTTCTCTTGATGAACCACCATACCGATCCAAAAACAACCACCAAAACAACTCCAAGATCATCACAGATCAAATCAAAGTACAAAACAAGGACAACGTGGCAGTATGAATAGTGACCAGAACCCGCCCACACTTACTCGTCAGTAAGGTAGTATGACAGTATAAGGCACTAATTCATAACCTACCCCCCACTAGGTCTACCCATGAAACCTCTCGATACAAATGACATCAATGTCGTGAATCATCATTACCAAAAGTACGACGGCAACCAGGCATCTTGTGAGAGTTGGGGTAGCTAATCCCAAAACTCTGACAACAATGTCATAGGCACCGCTAAGCTCAAGGTCCTAAGTCCTCAATACAACAAAACCAACAACTCCAACGCCTCAAAATACTCCTATTAACAACCTCAATCAAGAGTCCTAAGTCTAAAAAGCAAAACATCATCTCCGAAATCCCAGATATCATCCTGAAACAGATCAACTACAAAACCACACTGAAGTCAAACATCGGATCAAAATCCCTACTACGGATGACCAAATCCTTGAAATATAAGTCTACTAAGTGGTACACACATCAAGTCCTGACAACCAAAGTCACAAAACGAATCCCTCAAAACTGTGTTTGGCATCACCAAGCTAAATCAAAATCCTTTAATTTCAATTCACAATCAGTCATTGAAACCAAAACTATGCCTAGCCATAGCTAGGATGAGAAAACTCCATAAACAAGCCAAATCCAATAGCGATCTTCCAAAACTTCTCCTAAAAGTCAACCACATCTAAGTCTCCAAAAACTAAAGCAAGTCTCCAAAGGATATTCTCAAAAGAGTATCGAGGTCACCTCACGAATTAAATAAATCCTCAATCAATTGGACACAAGTCCCCAAAAAATGATCTCACATCAATCAACTCACTCTAAGCATCACAACTTCTTCAACAACCACGGCAAAACTCCCTAAGGAAAGACACGAAGGAAAGGAAACCACCAATCTTAAGAAGGATAACACCACGACTCCACCTCTAAAATGAATGACAACAAGGTCAAAGACTTCACCCCCTACATGAAAGTAAGTCGACCAAAATCCATCAAATCCTTGCTAAAGACTCAAAATGACAACGATGATCCTTACGGACCAACCAACCCTAAAACTGCGCACAAGGCGACGAAGATAAGAGACTCACTCCTTGTGAAGTCCCAACCACGAACCAAGAAAGAAGAGGAATCCCATTCTCCCACAAGGGTCAACACGACGAACACAAAAAGGAAGCATTCTTCCCACCTTAAAGAAATGGACAGCTCAAGACCAAACAAATATGACAACTCCTCTACAAGGAATCTCACAACGGAATCGTACACACTACGTACGACTGAGGGAAACAAAAAGAAGAATCAAACACGGAAGTCATGCATATGACAAGGAATGCAACTACCAAATAAATAAATCTACTCTCATAGATAAAATCAAAGGTACATGCGGCACGTCTCCACGTAAACACAAAAGCATGTCACTAAAGTACAGCAACAACATGACATACCTAAAGCATATATGCAGGGTATGCTAATGTCACACAACAAGAAGACAAATGTGGATAGACCTCCACCTACTCATGCATCGCACTAACATAAATCATACTACTAACATGGTAGTAAATGAAGCTGCAGAAAATGGAATGATGCAACAATGAACCCTATGGACATCGTGTCCTAGAGTGTCTAGATAAAAGGAAGGACCAATCCTAGCCACAATCTGACTCCAAAACGAATGTGACAACAACCTGTCTCAAAACAAACATGAGCCCTTACCACGATGGTAAGATTCTAACAATCCATTTCCAAATCTAAGGGTGACACTACAAGTGACACTAGCAATGCAATGCTCTCTCTACATAAAGCATCAATCAATCGACTTGATCCCAAAAGCGTCATCACGCAAGGAGAACTTAAATGAAATGGCTACTCTAGCCATACAATTATACAACCAAATCAATCACTACGACTGATCCCCAAAACAACCATCATCATTATCGATCAAAAGGACTACACCTGTCGGAACAAAACCCAACGCTGATTCCATCCGAACTGCACTCGTAACTTGCCAGTACGGTAGCATGACAGTGCCATGCACCCGCCCATAAAGTACCCACCCACGAAAATTGCAATCTCAGAGGAACCTTCCAAAACAACTAAGGATCCCAAAAGGTCCAAAACCTAACTATGGCCTAAAATCAACAAATCCAGTACTACGGTTGTGCCTAATGGCTTACTCCACTAGAGCCTAAACAAAAGGTGTCTCTGCACCTACCTCAAAACCAACTCTAGGTCAACAACAACCTAAACTACAATACAACCGTGACTACAATCACCATTAACCTCAACTCGTGCCTCAATGGCCAATCCCGTGTCATGCCAAATATGCAACACAGTTATGCATATGCGAACCTAATCTAGCTCACATCATATGTCATGCTCATTACATTGGAATCAAAACAAGATAAATAGGTAGCATACCACGTATAACACATAAGCATCTAAACATGTTATCAAACCAAAACATGTTATCATGAAGCATATAAGCACGTAAAACAAAGCAACAAAACTGTGATATGCCCTAAATCCCGTCATCCCAAGATATTCAAACCTGGGAGCTCTAATACCATTTGTGACGGCCCAAGTTTTGTAAACCCGGTGCGTCAATGATGACCAAAAGATGACCCGATAACGGATCCAAAATGCGGAAGCAAAAGGTGAAACAATGGTTTCTAGAGATACAATGTGTCTCTAAGACACCAATGCGGCCCTTAATGAGGTCATGGAACCCAAAGGAAAACGAATGCGGAAATGTTGTTTCAAAAACGGACAAAAAGGAACCTATGGGCAAAATGGTCATTTTGCAAAAAAGTGTATTCAAGTGCTATTAAGCACACCACTGGGAAGATAATGAAAAACTAATCATGATGGACTCAAGAATTTCATTATTCGGATTCCAGACGAAGGAGAAACGACAAAACAAAGAAAAACAAGCAATAAAACTAAAAGGGGTAAACTGGTAATTATCTAGAAATATCTAGGTGCAACCGAGCACACTATTGGATAGACAATGAAAAATTAATCAATTTGAAAAAAAATTCACTTGATTTGGAGTCCGGATGAGGGAGAAAGGTTAAAAATAAAATCGACGTCGCGGCGGCCCAACGACGGCCGTGACAGCTACAGTGCCGTCAACCCACTATTGCTGCAACTGAGAGTAAAAACGGGCATCTAAACGGACTTTTCTGGAAAAACTTAAAGAAGAAACCCCCCCTAAAATCAAGTTTCCTACCTCGATTGTGGATGGAAACAAAAAAAAATGCATTATAAAATGCCCAGAATGCCCCCAAGAAAATCTGGTCAAGGGGGTAAAAATTTCTCCGAGCTGCTATCCAAAGAAAGGAAATAGGGCTTCGAGAGATTTTTAAATTGCCTAAATTGAAAATGCAATCTTAAAATACACCCACAAGACCCCGAAAGTTTCGGATCGGTCGTCACACTTTTCAAAAAAAAGTTGATGAATAGTACCAAGTACATTTGTACTAAAAATCTGCAAAACCTGGCAGGAAGGATTTTTCGGACAAATATGGATTTTTGAGGGCCAAGATGGCATTTTCTGGAAAAACAAAGAAGAAATCCCAACTCAAAATTGAGTTTTCTACGTGAATCGCGAGGAAAAATGAAAAAAACACATTATGAAATACCCGAAATGCCCCTGGAACAGAATAGGGTAAAACTCCATAAAAATGCTACTTAGAGTTTTTGTTTCATCAAGGATGGTGTTGTTTGCCAAAGTGAGTATGCAAGTGCATGCAATATGATAAAATAGATGTACCAACATGGCCTAAAGCCTCTTTACATTCCATTAACAAGTTTTAGCATACAAAGCCTCCATTGTTGATAAAAATACATTTTCAAGCAAAATATGGCACCAATTGAATACAAGTGCAAATATAAACTTACTTGGCCTTTCGCCTCATGTCCTACATGTCAAATGCATTAAAAGGAGTGTACTTATATACACTTTACATACGTAGAATCAAAGAATACAAGTTTGAAACATAAAGCTACCAAACGATCCAAGGCAATGAAATCTTCAAGTCTTGAGTCCTGTAGCTGAAATATACCCCAGTAGCTGAAATATACCCCAGTAACGTAGGGGTGAGTAACATAAAGCTACTCATAGGAGATGAGCATGCATTGACCTAGCATTTTATAGTTTTATCACCTTAGGGTGAAACATGTTAAAGGACTCATGCCACCTCATGTCTATGTCAAGATGAGACTCAGGGAGCATCATAACTACCTTAGATCATTTCTAGCATGATCACATTGTTCATACAATTCAAATAACATAGAAACATGTTATACAAAGCAACAAGATATAGAATCTCAAAGTCTTCCACTTGAAATCCAAAATACGAAAACAATAAGAGTGGGTCATGCTACC